GTATAATGGGTATGTATTCGCGGGATGTTAAACTTGTTTTGTCATCCTTGTTTCTTCTTCTCGGCTTTCAGTAGTAAGCCGTTGTTTGTGTTTGTTCGTGGTCCGTGGGATGAAGACAGTTGTGGGGCGCAGATGTCTTTTCATTTCCTTTGGGTGATCGAGATGCGTCATACTTATTTCACGATAGACTATTTTATGTCGTATTTTGCGTGTTATGTTCTGCGGCCCTTTTGGGTTCAATTTTGTTTTTTCCAAATTTGCGATTTTGTTCCTTTCCCGACTTTTCATATAGATGGTGATTTTTATTATGGCCGTTTTTCTTGCACTGATTTGGCGTACGTCTTCTGGTTAATTTTTGAGTGTGTAATTCTTTTTTTAATATTTTCCCGTAGCTTTGTCTTATTTTTCTGTCCTCTCTTTAACATCTAAACTTTTCCCTTGACCTGTCGTCAGTCTGAGTTTCTTTATGATATCTCCGATCTTTTTACTTCTAATTCTATCATTTTCTTGTTTTCCCAATTGCCTCTTGGTATATTAATGGGTTCTCTTTTCTAACATTGTTTACTTTTTTAAAATCATGCGCGTCTTCATTATGTATAATTTTATTGTATGGATTTCGAGCTTTGGTGAAAATATCCTTTTTTCTACTTCATTCCTACAGCCCACATCTATGACAGTCTGTTAGCAAACGCTTTGCCGTCTGCATTTGAATTGCCGCGTGCCTTTCTTCTCTAGCCGACGCTCAGCAGATGAACCAATGCTGGTCCTTTGAGAACTGCGTAGGGTGTGACGCTGCTTGTTAGTCAATTTAAGGCGTTGTGCGAGTACAATTCCAGTCTTACCGCAATATCGCAGACGATAAACTATTTGACTGAACGAGATAGAAACGGAGTGGGGGAAGAACAAACAATGATACCTTATCTGCTGTGCTTTGTTCTTCTTTCTTCGATAGTATGCCCATCGTACTCAATAAGTAACACTGTCCTACCTATCAAAACCGACGAAATATCGCCGAAATACTGGGAAGACCAGGCTCGCAAATTCTTTGCAGAAGCTGAAAAAATTTTGCCCGATATGGCTGAGGGCGCGAAAAAAGCCAAGAATGTGATACTATTCCTTGGCGATGGAATGGGCTTGCCCACTATTTCTGCTGGCCGCTTCTATGCTGACCAAAATGCGAAAACGGGAAAACCGGTAAAGTACTCGTTTGAAGACTGGGATTTTAACACAGTCGCCCGAACCTATGACTTGGAGACTATGGTCACAGATTCTGCTAGTTCGGCCACAGCCTACCTGACGGGCAAGTGATATAAACTACTAGTTTTTCTTTTCCCTTTTGTCTCTTCTTTAGTCGGTGCCTTACATAAGCTTTACTTAATTACTGCTCTACCTAATTACCTCCTTCTGTTTTACCATACAATCACCTGCTCTTTTTGAATAAATTATACGCTACCGAGACCCTTTTAATTGCTCGGATGGAATAGGGTTTATGCCTACCTCCACATCTGGCCTCAATCGAGACACGGTCCCCGAACTGTACTGCATTGTTTATGCTGTGTGATAGTTGACTCTGTATTTTCATGGTTAAAGCTCAAATTTACTTTCCACACACATTTTCGCACTTTAGTAGGACCCAACTCGTGTGGCCTCTTCAACAAACTCTGGCATTCAAAATAAGATGTAATAGTTATAAAACATTTGTTGAGAAAAGTATATGAAAACGGACTCGCTTTTCGAATGACCACATTTGAATATTTTGTAATCGACACATGCATGCTACTGTCGAGGCTAACTCCTCAAGGATTAAGCAGTACTTCAAGTAAAGGAAAACATGGCAGTGAAATCGGAGTGTCTCCCTTAACTAGGCCATACTTCATGGTTATTAAATATCTGGACTGAATTCAATGATTGTTTGAGTAGGAATCAAAAGTAATGATTAAACTCCTCTGACCCTTATGGCTCTTCCTGTTATTCGACCTTTGCAGGCACAAAGACGCGCACAGGAATGCTGGGCGTCACTGGTGCGATCAAAGTTAAAGAGTGTGTTGACTACAGTGACGCCGTGAAGACGATTTCTGTTCTGACAGCAGCTGCAAAGGCCGGCAAATCAACAGGCATTGTGACTACTGCTCGGGTCACCCACGCCTCGCCATCGGGGGCATTTGGCCACTCCGCCTTTCGTGACTGGGAATGTGATGCGTGAGTTTCTTCGGCAAAACGTTTTCCATTATTTGGGTCCTAGGAAGCCTTAAGTTCAGAAAATAATCTCTTTTTAGCACTTTTCACTAAGTGCTTTCGGGATTAAGCCCTGTCTGCCATACTCCAATGGTTTACCATGCAGCTGACTGATTTCTAGACTGAACAAGATTAATGCGAGACTAGATCAATAAGATATTTCGGTTTTGTGAGACAAATGGTAATCAAGCGAGCAATCAGGGGTTTAAACAATTAAACTATACATTTGATAGGGACAGTGTAATAGAACTTCTTCTCCTACTGGTCGTGCTGAGGGTGTTTGCTTAAGTGGGCTTCTTGATACTGTCATTAGCGTCTGCGAAATTTCTCTGGCATGCATAGGACTGTATTGCAAAAGCTGATTGTCGACAAGTTTGCCGTAATAAATATTCTGTTTTATCAATAGAAGCTACTCAGCAAATGATCTTGAGGTCTTCACTAACGTTTAAATCTCGACCTGTGGTTGTAAACGAGGTTGCTGTCACATTTTTAAACAAACAATGAATTTGTGGCCATTGCGTACCCATAATTTAGCTGTAAACGTCTTATGTCACACACCAAGTAAACGCAAAATATGGCTCTTTAAAGGGACATAGCGAAGGACTGTTCACCAGCATCGGCTTGCCACTGCGTGGATTTGGCTCAGCAATTGGCTCTCCAGAATTTGGACATCAATGTCATTCTGGGCGGAGGTCAGGGGAAATTCTACCCAGACAGCGCCAACCTTCCAATCAGTCCATCGACGAAGGGCCAACGGAAGGACGGAAAGTATCTTGCCAGTATGTGGCTGGAGGCACAGAAGCAGAAGGGCAGAAGAGCAGAGTATGCCGACACCATAAATAAATTCAACTCTATCAACTCGGAACAGACTGACTACTTGATGGGTAAATGCCGTTGTACCAACTTTCACTCATTTGATCGTCAAATCATACCACCAACATCGTACGCACCCTCAATTTTACGCATTTCAATAATACACAGGTCTACTGGCCGCGTCTCATCTCCCATATGTACTGGACCGGCCATCCGGAGAACCCTCACTGGTAGACCTCACCGCGAAGGCGATTGAAATACTTAAGAAGAATCCAAACGGTTTTTTCCTCTTTGTTGAGGGCGGACGCATTGACCACGGTCACCACGACAACAAAGCTAAGTGAGTTCAAATGTTCACAAAAAGTACCCTGATTTTGTTCTGTCGCTGGACTTTAAGTGTTACCTACATTCTGTCGCATTGGGCCGACCGCTGTTTGCCAAAAATATAGCACATCTGTATTACTTCCACTTCATCCTCTTGCTTACGTTAGCTCGCTCTTTGCTCGTTGGTTGAAGTATCGCTACAATTATTTGACGTTTGTTATCAAGTAGCTGACACTTTGGCACGTATTTTAAATTCGTACAGCCATTTCATCCACTTGGCTCTCAAAAGGCATTTTCTGAGTAAAAAGAAATAGTCCAGGATAGTCTCAACAGTGGCTCTGAGGATGCATTCTGGGTTCGACGGGAAATTATAGCCTAATTTAGTCCTTTGGAGAAGATACACGCATATTTTGCTTTAGTGAGGTCACAGCAGGTCTGGGAGGATTTTTTCGGGGAACCCCTGTATATTTCGAACTCAGAATTTCCAACGAACTGAAAAAGGATTCCGTCTAAACGCGGATTGAATTGCTTCAAAGGGCTTACAACGAACGTTTGTGAAGTGCTGAAAAAATACATGCCTTAGAGTAACTTCCGACCTTAAAATCCCTAAATTCTTTTTTCGAAGGCAAGCAGTTAAAAGCGCGGGAAAGCGCTTGTTATCGTCTAACTAACAAAAACCTTATATATCTGTAACATATTGCTGGCTCTCATCTATACTTTTATTGGCAAGAATTTGATTTCTGAAAAAACCGAATAAAAATTGATACTTTTGCCCTCTGCATTTTCTGCCTTAGTCGTTTGCTTCACTTGGACTTCACCAGAGGCTTGATTCATCTGCACTTCTAACTTCCTTTCTTCCTTACCTTAAAGACAAGCCTTGGCCGAACTTCTAGAAATGGAAGAGGCAGTCAAGAAAGCTGTCTCAATGGTGGACCCGGAAGAAACGCTTATCATCGTCACGGCTGATCATTCCCATTCCTTTGAATTGGTAGGGCAGCCAAGTCGGTTTGAGAGTCTTCTACTGCGAGACAAAGGATACGGTCCCAAGGTAAGTAGTCATAAAAATGATCAGAACGATGGCCACCTTATCAGCGTTCTCGATATTATGAATTATTGGATCAGAAACAATTTGAAGAGCGTTCAGTAGAATGCATCTTAAGTAATTTCTTGTGCTTTAGAATTTGCTTCTCCCTGGGAACAATTCGTTGTCAGCTGTCCCAACTCCTGAACGTCATTTGCATCCAGTATCACCAAAACAAGCACAGCTATAAGAGTGTAGATTCTAATCAGAATATTTCCGAAACAGTGGTCCTTGTGATTCAGTACTACTGTGCTCATACACCTGCGTACCGAAAAAGATTCAAAAGTTATTTAAATTGTTCTTTACGACTGACAAAAAGGATCGTATTGGGAACCTTCGTTGGGTGTTGATGGGCTAGATTCTGATAATACAAAGTTAACAAGATTCTTTTGCTGCAACGTTTAGGAGATTTGGTTTTCAACTCCAGTGGTAGATTAGGTGGGATTTAAAACATTAGTTATTTAGCTTAAGGGGGAATGGAAGGCAGTACTATGTACTGCTTGAAGTTTAGACTAGCCTGTATATAAGCCTGACTGCTACTAGGTCTTCCACTACCAATGCTTAAATATAGAACTGGGCACCTGCTTTAGTTAATCTAGTGCAATTTTGCCCTGAAAGATCACTAACCAAACGAAGTTCATTAGAACGTACATTACTCAAATCAGAGATGACACCCCAACCACCCGGGTCTCTTAAATTTACCGATTTAAAAAAGTTCCATATCCTTTAAAAATATCTAGCACTCTCTCTGTCTCGTCATTTTCATTATACAAAAATAGCAATTCGTATCGTTAAATTTCTTTCGTTTAGGTAAAGGACGATAAGAACATGCTCCCGCTTACTTACATGAATGGTCCGGGGGCAAAAATTAACGAAACTCGAGCCAATCTGTCGGCAATTGCTGATGCAGAGCTGATGGACAAGGACTTTTTGCAACAGGCTCTGGTGCCTCTAAAGTGGTCCACTCATGGTGGGGACGACGTGGGTGTCTACGCTACCGGGCCTTTCAGCTGGATGTTTCACAGAACTGTAGACAACACTTTCATTGCCCAAACTATGAAGTATGCCCTGTGCGTGGAGCCCTATACTTCGGAGAAACACTGCACTGTCAGGGGTGGCGCTGTATTCCACAAGCCGATCCTTGGCCTTATCCTAACCCTCTTAATGCTTGCGTTCAGATCGTAATACCCTTGCCCCCTATCCACAAATAAACTCGGCTTTCAGTCCATGTAACAACCTTTAATAAGATAAAGCAAACGGCGCGTGTACATTTGTTTTTGAAAGCAAACCAGCACACTTATACCGCCTACTTTCCCATTGTTCCCAAGGTAATTTACATCCCAAAAGGACTGTTCGTTGTGTTTCTCTGACGAAGAATATTTATCTGGCATTCAAAAAATTAAGTTGCTTTAATAGAAGGAAACAGCTCAGTTCCTACAGGGAATGAAAATATGAGACGAAGTAAACTCACAGTCTTGCGTCACAGACTGAATTATGTAACATTCTGGAATCCACCAGAAACTTTTATTTGCAATACAGATTGGTTTGTTCATCTATAATCAACTTTCACAATGTCTTGGCTTTGGGATGGCTGTGTAAGAATTTGCAAAGCAGAACTGTTTACGTTCCTCGTTTCTACGTACATGAGGACATGGTTGTGAAGCGAAGTCGGTGTTAAGCAGGCTAGAGAACGATTGAGACAGTAATATTCATTGCTTTTATAGGTTTTCCGGAGCCCGGCCGAGATTACTCGCGTCTAACGGTGCGTTTTGGATGCGCTGGCACACAAGGAAGCCCAACCGACTCACGGTACATGTAAACCAGACGGTACAGAGTCTGCGAAAGACTATAAGTACCGCCGTACATGAAAGGGTCTGCTGGCACTTCCGGAAATAGGCCATCATGTCGCGTCTGCCGTCGCGGTCAATCCCCATACCAGCTGTTTATCAGGCTCGGACGGTCTGCTTGTGCATGGGGGAGGGAAGACAGAGAGTCCGACACCGGGAATCCATTCGCACAGCAACCCAGCGAATCGTGCATTAGAGTAAATGTGACGCCCTTGAATCTATTAGAACACGTTAAGGGTCGTGGCGTGGAAGGCTCCTAACTGATGGGCTAACTCGGTCATTCTCAGATCTGAGAGTCAGGCTCAGTGGCTCCCCCATAGCATTGCAGTTTTTTTTGATGAAGGACATCAGGCGCTCTCATTAAAGCCTTATACGTGATCAGGGACCCAAGTCGTGTTTGGCATGCATAGAAAGCTTCTCACAGCCACTCCGTCCGAAACCACTTCCAATCGCCCTGACATTGTCTTGCCATCGGAGCAAAGTTGGTCAGATAGGACGGAGTAAATGTAGAGCAAGTTTGTCTCACTATAGGCTAATCCCCGTCCAAGTCACCGGTGCTGTGTCCCCCTCTGTGGGGTACACAGTGGACGTAGTTGTTCGTGATGCTCGGAATCTCATGTGGTATGCCCAGTGGTCTGTTGCGTCAGCCGAGGGTCGGTGTATTCAGATGGAGCATGGGCATGTGCCTGTCGGAATACATGCATTTGCGTATGTTACAGACGGTCGGACTACGATGTCTGTGCGTCTGGAACCGACTGCGGGGAAGGTGAGTAACCTTAACGCAAGGGGAGGGGGGCGTTGAGAGATGACACCAGAGATGTGATAGGAACCTACTTAGTCAACAAATGCTGTTACCGCAAAATTTTGGCTCTAAGTAATAATAGTAAACACACCTAATTCAACCACGAACGGATAGCACATACGTGCTATGAGACATGCTTTCTGAGGACAACTGCGACCATGCAACTATGAAGTGTACGGCAGAGGCGAAAATACATTTAGATGATTCCTTATGACCGAGTCAGTCTAAAAACTGAGTCTAAAAGTTGCGATACACAGTTAACTCAAAAAATCCGCTTTACATCTGTGGACTTTTACCTTAGAATGACACTTTGCATCCAGCATAAACTTCTTATCAAATGTGTACATGGTTATTATATAGTAGTAGTTTTCCTAAGCACCGACTGAAGCGGAGACCGCCAAATATTTTTTCAGAAAAATGATTTAAATAAACTTTTAAGAAATAGAACGACTTGGTTCATTGCATCTACTCGTCATACTTAGTTAAAAATGTTCTTCCGAGTAGACAGTGTTCTTCGGTAGTCGAATCGTTGAAAGCACACGTTAAATATAATTTTTTAAATTCATTTAAGCGCTTCTTCTGTTTAATACCGAATACGAGAAGACATCGGTCAGCAACTTTAAGAAACGCTTTATCTCCTACAAATAGGAAATAAAAAAGAAAATCCTCTTGACATTATAATGAAAATCACATAAAATTAGAGAACCCAGGACCGAGCGAATCATATCATTTGTACTAGATGTTTATGTTTGATGACCTTATTCGCTATAGCCGGGTAAATTTTGCCTCATCTTCCGAAGTCCCGTTTCCCAGCTAACAGCTTTTCAGGGCAAGCTATCTTTCGTTTTTAGCATAAAATGATGTGCTGCTATGGTATAGGAGTCTATTATTTGTGCAGATCAGGGTCATTTTTTAGGCAGGGGGTGCCGCAAAAACACAAATTATGTTGATTAATTGATATGCAGAACGGGAACCAATCATGCTCAATGGATTCACATCGGCAACGAGAATCAAGTAGACATTTCGAGCCTGTATGGGTACATACTATTTAGCATTCGCGCGTATACTATCAAACCGCCGAGTGGAGCCACTGTCTGGATCAGTCCACTTTTGACAGAGGTATGTTGACTTTCCACACTATGAATATATAAGAAGGATAGGTTAAGCGGGGTGTTGTAATATGCGTTGAAGGCAAAGAGGAGAGGCTCACTCCTCCTAAACAAGATGTTGTTTTTCTCATTAGTCTACCGATTTTGCCTAGGCTTTTTGCTCAAAAGTAAAAGCTATAAAATTCTAACTTCACCCGAATGATACTGTCTGTATTGTCTAGGCTTTGAGTCATAGGCAGAAGTTCGTGAAACAGATGTACCGTACAATCCATCATTTGGGATTCTTCTATCAACGGGTAGTATGACAGTCAAAAAGTCCCCCCAAGGCTGCGCTGAAAACCGAGACGGTCAGTATTGTTAAGCACGCGCAGATAACCACAGATCTAAAGGTAATGTTCGGCGGAAAAGATGAGTTACGTTAGGAACACATAAATTCTTACAACCTCTGATGTGGTAGAGTTATTCTACGTCGCATTATCCCTCAACTCCACGAAAAAATCCCTCCAACATGGAGGATGTCAGTCTGGTCAAATGTTAATTAGTGGTTAAAGACTCTCAGATCTATTGCCGTAATAGACGATATGTTTTAGTCAGCGATTTGCTTGTCTATTGGAAGCCTAATAAGAGAAAAGTATTGTATATATTTTAAAATGTTTCTTTCGATTGGAATGCCAGTCAAGTTTGTGGGCATTGACTCTCAGAGCAACATTGCATGTGCCTTTCTAATGTTGCACAGAGTGCAGACAGTCTGATCGAGGCTCCTACGTCACCACCAAGCTGCAATGGCGAATGCATCTGTCGTACGTCTTAGGATCTTCGACTGTGTGCACAGGGGCCTTCGTCCGGGCCTTGCACCCCCCGTGGCCAGAGTTCACTCCCACGCATTGTCAGTAGTGTTGGGTTAGGTTACGTCCAGCGGCTGACAACCCATGTCTGCTCACTCACTCCCATGCGACCTGCACTGGGTTAGGCAATCTGGCCTCAGATGGCCGTTCGCACACTGAGGTTCCCCTGCGTAATGATCACCAGCTTCTCACACTTCTTTCCTCTGATTACTCAGTCGCATATGTAATCACTGCAAATGCTCCCCTGTGCCTTACACCCAGTGGTTTCCCCATGTCCACTGGTCATATGAAGGTGTTAGATCTGATGAAGACTCATTCAAAACGTGCGTTCGTCCGGATGTACTTCTTCCCATCGCCTAATATTTCCTGGTCTCTCAATGACAAATCACCTTTAAATGGGAATGGAAAAGTAGTCTGTTAGATTCAGTGGTAAACCCCATTTTTCCACTACTCAGACGAGAACCTCCCGCTTCGTCAGTTCAGTCACGGTTGCTCCGCTCCTCTTTTATTGTGATTCGTTAAGACATGGAGATCGGTCGCACGCGCTCTTCCCTCCCCCGCGCAACCAGTGGACTGACCGAGCATTTCTGTCGACTGGTAATTAGTCTGGGAGCAGTGCCTGGCTGACGTGAAAGACTTCGTCTACGTGTTGCACACGTATGCACATACGGCCAACGCAAGCCATGAGCTAGTGTCGACTCTTCCTAGTCCCAGTCCAACAAATGCCATTCTGTGAATGACAGCAGCTCCAAACCAAGCACAAGGGCGTTTGATAGGCAACCAAACTTGAATCTCAAGTACAATATACGTGGTCTAGTAACCACCTGTAAAGCCATCAAGTATGCCTCGTTAACTCAATGCAGAGATCCTCCAGCGCAGCACCGTGGGATTGGTCGATGGGTCCTGTCTTTGTGTTCCAATCTTACGAGTGCAATGTATTTCATACTTATGTAGTTTATTAAAATAAACAAGTGGTCTCCTTGTGATGCTGAGGGAGATAACAAAAAGAAGAAGCGCAAGAAATCGTTGTGTACCTGAAAAAAGCAAATTCTTCGCAAGTTTTTCTTACTTGCCCGAACTCGTTTTTGAGGATAAGAGTTCATTTAGAATAGGATAATAATCTAGCCCACCTGGGCTATTTATATTTTTTAGTCGTTATGAGCAAAGTTCTGAAAACAAACCTTAACCAGTCAAGATGAAGAGGCTATCGTTATATCCAGAAGACCTTTACTAGAAAAGTTCATAATTATCATTTTCTCTGAGATGTGTTTTACAGCGTTTAAATCTCAAGTCTTTGGCGCTAACCCTAATAAGGAACTCGCTGTGGGTTGTGCGCTGATATCAATGGTAACTAGCCAAGAATAACGGCAACATAAAACTGTTAAACGGGAGGATTTCGAAAACAGAATGGAGGCGAGCGAATAATGCCCGTTCTCCAGTCGAATAAGAAAAGCACAAAGTCTACGATGTAACTGCGAGAAGTTCGGTCCGTTGGTTGTTCCCCAGGTTGTTTCTGGTGTGTATTTCACCTTTATAGTGGCCTAAACATGTGGAATTATTTGTTAACTCAGAGAAAAAGGCA